AGATCTACGGATCGGAGGAGATTTTGACTAAAGAAGAAGAAGAAGAAGGTGGCCAAAGAAAGAGGAAGAAGAAGAGCAGATCTACGGATCGGAAGAGATTTTGAGAAGAAGAAGAAGAAGAAGAAGAAGAAGAAGAAGAAGAAAGGAAGAGGAGGAGAAAGAGTTGGGGTCTTGGGGATCGAAGAGGAGGAGACGCAGATCCGACAGATCCAAGAAAGAAAGAAAGAGAAAGAGAAAAGGAAGAAGAAAGAAGGAGAGAAGGGTATTTTAGGAAGAATGGGAATGAAACCGTATAATGGGAACTTAAAATCCAGATGGAGAAAAGTGTAGAATGGGAACTTAAAATCCGGACGGAGGGAGTAAAATAGTAGGCATTCACACAGTAGAAAATTAACTGAGACTGCCAATGTTACATCATTTGCATACAATGATTTATTCATTACTTTAGGCCCAAACATGAGATATTTTCACACTACAACCGTATTCTTACACAACCCTTGTATTAAAGCATCACCACGCCAATCCCACGATTCATTCCCTTCATATATAATGTAGCATAGCTGTACCATTACATTTCTTATCCACAATTTTAAACACACTGTAAGGAATCAAATGACTTGAGCCCTTGAGATATGTATCAGTGACTCTTAAACCCATGCTATGTACTAAAGCTTAGCATATTTTAGTAACTACAAAGGTATTACCATTGCTCTTAATCAACAAGTTACACACTAAACGAAACCTTATCTTAGAACCTTAAAAACATGCTTTCCTATCACATATTATTTTACGCTTAATACAGATTCACCAAACCACAATTATTTTATTTAACACCAAAAACTTTAAGAATTCGTTTGAAATTAAACATATTTTAAAATATGACCAGGTCAGCTTTTTCAGAAAATGTGTATGACCCAACTTATGGTGTTGAGCATATAAGGCTGATGCATTTCACCCCACACAAACGAGAATGTGGCCCTCGTCTTTTCTCATCCCTCTAAACAAACTCCATCCACATACTTTTCACTTTTGAACAAGTTTCTTATACTCCGTGAAGTCGAATTGGAACTTCTATTTAGGGACTGCTGGAGTATAAATTTTACTATGAACTTTTGTAGTTTTGAATTGTAAACTGATATGGAGTATTGTAAAATTATTAAAAGTTTACACTAAATGAGTAGGCAATTTAGTAATTTTGTAAAGAGAATCTGCCATGTCTACTACTCCGTATAAAACAGCCCTCATATATATGAAACGAACCTGGAGAAAAATCGTGATGTTGCACCCGGATCTGATGAAACAGATTCTATTATTTTAGATCTCAAAAATATAAATATATTTGATGGATATCGGGTCTGGTAGGCCCGACTCCAGGCCCAAATGAAGGCCCATAATGGCTTAAAGGGTATAGAAACAGATGGGATGACGGGCCAAGCCCGTTATCTCGCGTATGGCAAGTGAAGGAAAACGGCCCAAACGTGGGATAAAATCAAGGTGACCCGATCCAAGGGAGGAATGGGACACGTGGCCCACATCATTAAGTTGTGGGCGAAATGGGAAGAGAACGAGACCGGAAAGAGGGGGAATCACAACCCCATGATCTCCATAATCCATTTCCATTTTGTAAAATTTTAATTAGAATATTAGAAGTACTATAAAAGGGGAAGAACCCGCCATTGTAAAGCAGGTCACAACAAGACAGTTCAATACTTAATCAAAGAATATTATCGAGTGATTTTATCTTCCTAATTCATATTTCGTTCTTGGTCCGCCATCTGATCGGGTTAATCCCATCATTGGTGCTTTCATTGAGAGTTATACTGTGAGATAAGGCTGTGAGATTATGGCCGGACGAAGGACGAGACGTAACCCTGCTACTTCTGCCCAGTCGACGGTGAGGAGTGACAACCCTGAGCAGGGTATGATTGTTCCTGTCAATGGGTTGGAAACAGCGCTAAATAATGTGGCTAACATGATGGCAAACATTATGGAGCGATTGGATAAGGCTCTTCCAGGTCCATCCGGAACCCGGGATATCCCACCCGGGCAACCCCGCCAGGTCCTGCGTACTGCGAGTTCTCCTATCCTACAGGAGCTCCACGATCCGGAGGAGGTTGAAAGGGAAAGGCGAGCCATTGACAGACGCCGGGCGGAGGAATTGGCCCGGAACAACAAGGTGAACGAAGGCCAGGCTAAGGATCCAAGTCGGATCTTCGGCGATGGACACGAAAACCCGCGGGGATCTGTCTTTGAAAGGATATCTCGCCAGAAAGCTCACGTTAGTGAGAGGCTGGGGAAGAATCCGGAAAAGGCACCCCAGGGTTGGATACGACCTCAGGCCAGCCAGGTGGCATCCTCCAATCGCGAACCCCGGCAGCGAAATGACCGAGGCGTGAGCCAAGTGCCGGTCCGGTCATTACGGAATTTAGAGGAGGACGAGGTTCAAAGCCAAGCCAGGGTCCCAGCGCCACGGCGTCTGGGACCGCCGGTGCCGGAAGCTGGTGAATTTCAAGACCTGAGACAGCAGATCCAGGAGATGCAGAGGAAGATAAACAAGGGTCGAGTATTCACAACTCGAACGAATACTCCCTTGGCTCCAGAGATCTTTGCGGAACCATATCCGCAGGGATTCAAAATGCCATTTGTCAAGCGTTATGACGGCGAATCAGACCCCCAAGAGCACATAAATAGCTATGTCCAAGTGATGATCGCCGTGGACGCCAGTGACGCACTCATGTGTCGGTGCTTCTTGCAGACCGTTGATAGCAAGGTTGCAGACTGGGTCAACCATATCCCTGCCGGATCAGTCCGAACATGGGATGAATTGGGACTGCGGTTCCTAGAGCATTTTGCTGGGAACTGCCGCCCCAAAAAGCATTTCACTCACTTGGCATCAGTGCGACAGAAGCATGGAGAATCCTTGAAGAATTTCCTTATCCGATGGAGGAAAGAGTCCATGGAGGTTGAAGGAACTGATGATAAGTCCAGGTTGGCTATGTTCACGGCGGCATTACAGGATGGACTCCTTCACACCGATCCCACTACTCATCCCCCGGATACCTTCGAAGAAGCGATGGTCCGGGCAGGGAGGTATGTGACCCTGGAAGAAAGAAAGGAGGAGAAGAAAGAGAAGACTCCTAAAGAAGAAGAGAAGTCGGGAACTAAGAAGCCGTTTAAGAATAAAAAGCAGGGCTTCCCGGATGGCCCAAAGGGCGCAAGTCCTGGGACCTCGGAGAAGCATAAATCCGCCAATCCAGTCTTTACACTGCCAGTGGCTGAGGTCATGGCCCATGCAGCACAGCAGGGGCTCATGACTTACCCAACCTATTCTCAGAAGGTTTGCAATGTGGAAGACATTGGAAAATGGTGTGCTTACCATCGCAAAAATGATCACAACACAGAAGATTGTTATACTCTGAAGAATGAAATGGCAAGGCTGATCCGCCGGGGTCATCTGAAGAAGTTTGTACAAGATGGTGACGTCGGGAATTCCGGGAATGCTCAGAATGGAAAACACAGAGATAAAGAAGTAGCCTAGGCTGAGGCCCAGGAGAAACGTCACATTGGACTAGAAGATGAAGAGGAGGATTCGGAACCCGCGCCGCATCGCCAGAAGAGACACCACGGGTGTAACTTCATCATTGGAGGGAATACTGGTGGGGACTCGGCCACAAGCCGGAAGAAGTGGGCTGACGCGGCAATGGTCAACAAGGTGCTGGTCCCGGAAGGTAAGAAGTTGAAAACCGAGCCTATTGTGTTTTCTAATGCTGATCTTCCAGAGACAGGGGTCCCTCATAGGGACGCCCTGGTAATTACTATCGATATAATGGACTTACTGATCCACAAAACCCTTGTGGATACGGGAAGCTCCGTTAATATCATGTATATGGACACATACAAGGCTCTCGGTTTGACAAGAGATGAGTTATCACCCATCAAGACCCCACTGACCGGGTTTATTGGTGATTCTATTGAACCGGAGGGGGTGATAACCCTCCCGGTTGAGATAGGGGATACTAAGGCTACCCGGAAGCTGGACATGGAGTTTGTCGTGGTGGGGATAATTTCTAGCACGAATATTATCCTGGGCAGACCCGGATTGGAAGATTTGGAGTGTGTCATCTCACCTCGTCACCTCTGCATAAAATTCCCAACCCCCCACGGAGTTGGAATTGCCAGGGGATCTCAGAGAGTATCCCGGGCATGGTATTTGAAGGCAACCAAACAGCCCATCAAATACGATACCCAAGTGGGAGAGGTGACTGCATAGCTCCTGAGGGCTGAGGAAAAACGTCCCAGAGTAGAAGTTGTCGGCGACATTGAGGAGGTGGAACTGGAGCCAGGCACGCCGGGAAGGTTTGTCAGGATTGGTAAGGGCCTGGGGGCTGAACTCAGGTCACGGGTGATTTCAGTCCTCAGGAGGTTCAGAAGGGTCTTTGCATGGAGTCCAGCTGATATGCCAGGGCTGGATCACAAGATTGCTGTTCATCGCCTAAATGTTCTGCCGGATGCCAAACCGGTGAAGCAGAAACGAAGGCATTTGTCGCAGGAAAGAAGAGATTTCGTAAAGAAGGAGGTAGCAACCCTGCAGAGCATTGGGCATATCCGGGAGGTACAATACCCGGATTGGTTGGCGAATGTAGTCCTAGCACCCAAGCCACCTTCATGGAGGATGTGCGTCGACTACACAGATCTGAACAAGGCATGCCCCATGGATCCATTTCCACTCCCCAACATTGACCAGATGGTCGATGAAACTGCCGGGTCAGAGTTAATGAGCTTTATGGACGCTTTCAGCGGCTACCATCATATCAGAATGCACCCGGCAGATGCGGAGAAGACAAGCTTTATGACCCGAGGGGCTGTACTGTTACCTAGTGATGGCTTTTGGACTGAGAAATTCCGGGGCAACATATACCCGGATGGTTTCTCAGGTGTTCAAGACTGTCCAAAGGCGGACCATGGAGGCGTATGTCGATGATATGATCGTTAAGTCCAAAGAGGCCCGAGACCATGTCCGGGACCTCGAGGAGGTCTTTGAAATCATGATGAAGGTGAATCTGAGATTAAACCCGAAGAAATGTACTTTTGCTGTTCAAGGTGGGAAATTCCTTGGGCACATGGTAAGCCGGAAAGGGATCGAGGCAAACCCGGAGAAAGTTAGAGCCATCATGGAGATGGAACCCCCGAAAACAGCAAAGGAAGTTCAGCGGCTAACAGGAAGATTGGCGGCCTTGAATCGTTTCCTCTCGAAGCTGGCAGAGAAGGCGCACCCATTCTTTGCAGTGATCAAGAAGAGGGCGACCTTCGAATGGACACAGGAATGTCAAGAAGCATTTGAAGAATTAAAGAGATATCTCACAAGTCCGCCGGTTTTATCCAAGCCGGAACCTGGGGATATCCTGACTCTATATTTGGCGATTGCGGACTGTGCCATAAGTACGGTGATCGTGAGAGAAGAGCGTGGGGCCCAACATCCGGTCTACTACGTCAGCAAGACCCTGAGAGATGCAGAGTTAAGGTATTCCCGTCCGGAGAAAGCCATGTTGGCGGTCTTGTGGACAGCGAAGAGATTAACTCCGTACTTTCAGGCTCATCGGATCGTTGTGCTCACTAATGAGCCTTTGGCGTCACTTACCCGAAGCCCAGCGGCGTCTGCCCGGATGACTAAATGGGCAGTCTTCATCAGTCAGTATAACGTGGAGTTCAGACCGCTTCCATCCATCAAGGGACAGGCACTCGCTGACTTCCAAGTTGAGTGCACTGCTAGGGAGGTAACCAGGAACCAGGTTGAAACTCGAGAGGAGAAGGATTGGTGGATAATGAGCATCGATGGATCTTCTGGGTCTCGATCTTGCGGAGCAGGTATCGTCTTGATCACCCCAGAAAATTTCTGGATTTATTACGCTATCAGATTTCAATTCCGTGTATCCAACAATGAAGCTGAGTATGAGGCCCTGATCAATGGTTTGAAAATTCTGCGTAAGATGGGAGTAGCCAGGGTTAAGGTTTACACTGACTCCCGATTAGTGGTGGGACAAATCACGGGGGAGTTTGAAGCAAAGGAAGAGAGAATGAAAAAATACCGGGACTTGGCCTTAGAGATGTTGGGAAGGTTTGAGTTTAAGCTTGAACATATTCCCCGGGCCCAAATGCAGAGGCTGATGTTCTCTCCAAGCTCAGCGCAGAGTCACCAGAATACATAAGCAGGTTAGCAGCTGTTGAAGAGCTGGTAACCCCGAGTCTTAGCGACGGTGAAGTGATCTGGGTATCAGCTGATCCCCCGGAATGGCTGGACCGATTGGCCAAATATATTGAGGACGGTGAAGCCCCGGAGGATCCCCAAGAAGGGCGTCTATTACGAATGAGGGCACCAACCTACAAGGTGCAGGACGGAATCCTCTATAAGCGGTCATATAACGGTGTTCTCCTCCGTTGCCTCAGAGCAGCAGAGGCGAAGGCATTGATGGAAGAAATACATGAAGGAGTATGTGCTGCACATCAGGGTCCTTACTCCATTTCCAGAATGGCTATTATCCAGGGGTATTTCTGGCCAACGATGAGGAAGGATTGTGAAGAATATGTACGCAAGTGTCCGACCTGCCAACAGTTCCAGAATATACCCGGGAGGCCAACCACAAACTACACACCCATCAGCTCTGTGATTCCCTTTTCAAGATAGGGAATCGATATTGTCGGAGCCCTGCCAAAAGGAGCAGGGCAGGCAAGGTGGATTGTGGTCGCAATAGACTATTTCACAAAGTGGGTAGAGGCTGAGCCACTTGCGGGGATCACCGGAAGGCAGATGATCGACTTCGTCGGAACCAATATACTCTGCAGGTTTGGGGTCCCGAAGCAGATCATATCAGATAATGGAACCCAGTTTGAGGAAGCAGAATTTCAAGACTTCCTCAAAACTTGGGGAATTCAGCACACGAAGGTGTCTGTTGCATACCCACAGGCTAATGGACAAGTGGAGAATGTCAACAGAACAATCATAGACGGAATAAAGAGGAAGCTACTCTCAGAAGGAAGCAAATGGGTAGATGAACTGCCCAGAATCCTGTGGACATACAGGACGACTCCGAGGAGAGCCACGGGTGATACTCCTTTTGGCTTGGCTTATGGTTTTGAAGCCCGGGCTCCCGCTGAGGTAGTAATCCCCACCAGGAGAGAAATGGAATATGACCCGGAGGTAAACGAACAGAATCAGGCCGTAGAACTGAACTTCATAGAAGAACGGAGGGATGAAGCACGTATCCGGGCAGAAAATTATCGTCGCCAGGTGAAATCTTACTTTGATAGCAAGGTGAAACCAAGGGCATTCCAGGTGGGGGATTATGTTCTAAGAAAACGAGAGAAAAGTCAACCAACTAAGGGTGGGAAGCTGGCTAAGAAGTACGAAGGACCTTATATCATCAAGGCTGTTGTTCGCCCAGGTACCTACAAGTTGGTGACTCCCAAGGGAAAAGAAATTGATAGGACATGGAATGTAGAGCACTTGGTCAAATTTTATCAGTGAATCATTTTGTAAAAACGCTCTATTTTTCAATTTAAGATGTCTCTTTTCTTTTAATGCCAAGTGCCTTTGCAATTTCATTGTTCTATAGATTTCTTAAAAAAAAAAAGGGGGGGAAGCACCCCCGGGTGATATAGACAGAGGGGGAAGCACCCCCGGGTGATATAGACCCGCGTTACTACAGTGAGGTAGAAAAGTTTATGCCACCTGCTAAAAATAGGGGAGGTAGATAAGTTTATGCCCCCCCC